AGTCATATACCCATTTAGATGCCTTGTAAATGTTATTGTACCAGCCTCCACTTCCTCTGACAGTTCGTTCCATACATGCAGCACCCTCTGCGTGAAAAAGGTGCCCCTTGGATCCCTTTTAAATCTTTCCCTTCTCATCTTAAACCTATACCCTCTAGTTTTGGACTCCCTACCCCAAGAAAAAGACCTTGTCTATTTACCCTATCCATGTCCCTCATGATTTTAAAAACCTCTATCAATGCCATCCCTCAGCCTCCAATGCTCCAGGGAAAATAGCCCCAGCCTATTCAGCCTCTCTATAGCTCAAACCCGCCAACTTTGGCAACATCCTTGTAAATCTTTTCTTCGTCCTTTCAAGTTTCACAACATCTTTCCTATAGCAGAGAGACCAGAATTGTGTGCATTATTCCAATAGTGTCCTAACCAATGTCCTGTACAGCTGCAACATGACCTCTCAACTCCTATATTCAATGCAATGACCAATAAAGGCAAACATACCAAAACAAAAATGTCCTGTCTGTCTGTGACTCCACTTTTAAGGAACTATGAACCTGCACTCCAAGGTCTCTCTGTTCAGTAACACTCTCCAGGACCTTACCATTAAATGTACAAGTTCTGCCCTGATTTGCCTTTCCAAAATGCAGCACCTCAAATTTATCTGAATTAAACTCCATCTGCCACACCTTGGTCCATTGGCCTATCTGATCAAGATCCTGTTGTACTGTGAGATAACCTTCTTTGCTGTTCAGTACACCTCCAACCTTGGTGTCATCTGCAAGCCTACTAGCTATATCTTGTATGTTCACATCCAAATCATTTATATAAATGATGTAAAGCAGTGGACCCAGCAACAATCCTTGTGGCACAAGGTCACTGGTCCCAGGCCTTCAGTCCGAAAAGTAAGACACTATTTCCGATGCACAAAGCCATGTTGACTGTCCCTAATCAGTCCTTGCCTTTTCCAAATACATGTAAATCCTGCACCCTCAGTATTCCCGCCAACAACTCACCTGTCACTGATGTCAGACTCACCGGTCTGTGGTTCCCTGGCTTTCCCTTTCTTAATAGGTGGCACCATATCGGCCAACCGCCAGTCTTCCGGCACCTCACCTGTGTCTATTGATACAAATATCTCAGCGAGGGGCCCAGCAATCACTTCCCTGGCTGCCCACAGAGTTATAGGGTCCCGGGGACTTTACCACCTTTATGCATTTTAAGATATCCAGCTATTTATTACCCCATGTTCTATATCTTTCTCCACAGTAAAAACTGATGCAAAATACTGGTTTAGTATCTCTCCATCTGTTGTGGTTCCACACATAGGTGGCCTTGCTGATCTTTAAGGGGCCCTATTTTCTCCCTAGTTACTGTTTTGTCCTTAATATATTTGTAGAGTCCCTTGGAATTCTCCTTAAGCCTATTTGCCAAAACGATTTCATTTCCCCTTTTTACCCTCCTGATTTCCCTCCTAAGTATACACCTACTGTCTTTATACTTTTCTAGGGATTCATTTGATTGCTGTTGTCTATACCTGACATATGCTTCCTTCCTTTTTCTTAACCAAAACCTCAATTTCTCGAATCATCCAGCATTCCCTACACCTATCAGCCTTGCCCTTCACCCTGACAGGAATATACTGTCTGTGGACTCTATCTCATTTTTGAAGGCTTCCCATTTTTCACCCATTTTTCACCCATCCCTTTCACCTGTGAACATCACCCCACCCCACCCAACCAGCTTTTGAAAGTTCTTGCTGAACACCATCAAAACCGGCCTTTCTCTAAATTAGAACTTTTAGATGAGGTCAATCCTTTTCCGTCAATATTTTAAAACTAATAGAATTATGGTCACTGGCCCCAAAGTGCTCCCCCACTGACACCTCAGTCACCTGCCCTGCCTTATTTCCCAAGAGTAGGTCAAGTTTTGCACCAACCCTAGTTGATACATCCACATACTGAATCAGAGAATTTTCTTACACTTAATAAAGTCCTTTCCATCCAAGCCCTTAACACTATGGCATTCCCAGTCTACGTTCACTAAATTCACTGGCTGTGGAGGCTAGGGCATTGAGTACATTTAAGACTGAGATAGATAGGTTCTTGATTATCAAGGGGATCAAGGGTTACAGGGAGAAAGCAGGAAAATGGAGTTGAGGAACTTATCAGCCACGATTGAATGGTGGAGCAGACTCGATGGGCCGAATGGCCTAATTTCTGCTCCTATGTCAGAATCCCTACAGTGTGGAAACAGGCCCTTCAGCCCAACAAGTCCACACCAACACAAAGAGCATCCCACCCAGACCTATCCCTCTAATCCACACATCCCTGAACACTACGGGCAATTTAGCATTGCCAATCCACCTAACCTGCTCATCTTTGGACTGTGGGAGAACGTGCAAACTCCACACAGACGGTCGCTCGAGGGTGGAATCGAACCTGGGTCCCTGGTGCTGTGAGGCAGCAGTGCTAACCACAGCCACCGTGCCGCCCCTTATGTTTTATGTTTAGAAAGTTAAAATACCCTACTATGACCATCCTATTATTCTTCTAGATAACTGAGATCTCCTTACAAATTTGTTTCTCGATTTCCAGCTGACAGTTGAGGGATGGGAATGTCTATATTGCAATCCCAATAAGCTTATTGTCTCTTTCCTATTTCTCAATTCCACCCAAATAGCTTCTCTGGACATATTCCCAGGAATATCCTCCCTAAGTACAGCTATAACGTTACCTCTCTAATAAAAAACACCACTCCCCTCCTCCCTTGCACCCACCCCCTCCCATCCTTCCTTTAGCATCTATACCATGGAATATTTAAGCTGCCAGTCCCATCCATCCCTAAGCCACGCCTCTGTAACTGCTATGATATCCCGGTCCCATGTTCCCACCCATGCACTAAGTTCATCTGCGTTACCTATTAGGCTTCTTGCAATGAAATAAATGCAGTTTAATTTATCAGTCCAACCTCATTCTCTGCTTTTTCCTGCCTGCCCTAACTGTTTGACTTGCTCCTCTTTTCCAACTGCACCAGTCTCAGACTGATGTTTTTCCTCACTATCTCACTGGCCTCCCCTCCCCCCACCCCACTCTTAATTTAAATCCTCCCGAGTTAATCTAGCAAATCTCCCTGCCAGTATATTAGTCCCCTTCCAATTCAGGGGCAATCCGTCCTTCTTATACAGGTTGCTTCTACCCTAGAAGAGATCTCAATGATCCAAAAATGTGAATCCTTGACCCTTCACCAGCTCCTCAGCCATGCATTCATCTGCTGTATCCTCCTGTTCCTACCCTAACTACTTGTGGCACTGGGAGAAATCCAGATATCACTACCCTTGAGGACCTCCTTTTTTAAATTCCTGCCTAACTTCCAATATGCTGTCCTCCAGAATCTAATCCTTTTCTCTTCTATGTCGTTTGTTCCAATGTGTACATTACAACCTCCTACTGGTTTCACTTTCTTTTGAAAATATTCTGCACCCTATCCACGAGAGCCTTGATCCTGGCACCAGGGAGGCAATACACCATTCTGATGTCTTGCTGTCGGCTGCAGAAACATCTGTCTGTACCTCTGACTAGAGAGTCCCCTATCACAATCGATCGTTGGAGATGATTTCCTCGAATTTTTGGAGCAACAATTTACTGTTTTATGAGCTATTGCATTGTTTGGAACCTTGAGGGGGTGGGTGGAAGAGAATCAAAACAATGGCACTTTAAAAAGGAGGAAGACAGACAAAGACAGTGACCACATGGGCAGTGTATCAAATGGAGAAATAAACCTGCACTGATGCAGCAGTGAATCTACACAGCTGGCTGTTCTGCTGTTTGATTTAAAGTTTCCCTGGATATCAGACTTCATCCAGGAAAAAAAATAACACAGCAAAATTCACAGCTGACCTTGGAGAAACCTGTATGGGAGAGCTCACAGCACAAGAGCAGCGAAGTGGCTTTTTAACTTGTAGCCTTAATGTTTTTTTGTTTGTAAATCTACACGTGTGAGTAGAGTAGGTTTTTTTGATTATATATTTTAAGAAATCTGTCTCTTGATTAACCTTTAAAATTATAAAACACAAGTACTAAGTTAGCCTGGAGTAGTTTTTCACAGCAGTAAGACTATGCTATTTTCTGGGTCTGTAGATTGTTAAGGTGCAAAGATAACCTTTAGTAGAGTGATATACTTTTCCTGACAGATGTGGGAGATTAGGGAGAGTTTCTTTGTTACTGAGTTCATGACACTATGGTCCTCAATCTCTCCTTTGCCTAAGGCATGGTTACCCTTTGATTAAGCCGCCTCCCTCTAGTGAGAGAGTAGCTCTATGGTCTGGTAAGATTATGGTGACTTTACCTTTTTACAGTTTGTCAAATAAAGAGATGGCCATGATGAGTTTCTTGGAGGAGCTCTATAAATATGTATGTTCTTAAGCATGTGATTGTGTTATAACAGTTCTTTTCAGTTTTGCCTTTACTGTTTGTTTTTTGTCCTGTAGCCTTGATTGGTGTCCTTCTGTTCTGTTCCCTTCTCAGTTTAAAAGGAATTGTATTTTTGGGATTGCCTGATTCTAAGTGTTGCAATGGGAGATGTCTGTACATTGACTGCCTTCTGCCATTTTAGATTTTTAACTGACCAGATCACTGAAAGTGAGTATCTTATCAGTGAAAAGCTACGGTGCGAAATGTCTGCCCCACCTGTTTTTAAGGTGGAAAGCAAGCAAAAGCGATTAAAAGAGATTATTTTACTCTTCATGTTTTGCACAGAATTGCATTCCTTTCCCAAAATGTTATCTATACTTGATTATCCTTGTGTGAATATTTGGAAACTGTAGACCAGGAATAATGATACAGACGTGAGCCTATATTCCACAACTTTTGTGATAGTGTGTCGATCGTGGCACCAGACAACTTTTTGGGACTCCTGTGTAGTTTGCTCCGTTGGTCTATTTCAAAATATTTAGAGAATGTGATTCTGGTTATGAACATGTTGTCGTCTTTGTTTCCACGTTCCAGATTTTGGTGTAAGTGCATTTTTGGCAACAGGAGGTGACATGACCAGGAATAAAGTCAGGAAGACTTTTGTGGGCACACCTTGCTGGATGGCACCTGAAGTTATGGAGCAGGTGAGGCAGCCTATATTCACATCCGAACATCTCAAAATTCTTCTTAATTTTCTCAAACTTTTGGAACTGTAAAGAACGTGCATCTGAAGTTGCAAAAAAATAATGATTCCAGATTCATCAAATTAGCCTCAACAAGTGATGGGTGGGCTGTTACAGTTTTCCACAGGAAAAGAAAACGTGTTCAGGGCTTTTTACTGTGGTTGTCATTGTTGTGCTTGTTCCAACTAGAACTGATACTTACGGACTTTGGATGAAAATGACAATAGGTTAGTAGTGATGCCCATTGATGGCTTATAGCTTGCCAAGATACTCAAATGAAGTGTAGCAAGGTGCTAGAGGAATGCATTTGCCAATCACAGTACCCCTAATCCCTTCAGACAGGAGGAGAAAATTGAATCTAAAACATTTCTGATCTCAAACTATGTATACTTTTTTCAAAAAACAAAGGCAAGCGTAAGTAATATACTGCACCCATTGTTATTTCAATGTCACTTTGAGCCGAGGGCTTTATCTTTGATTGCTGGTGATAGTTACTGAGTCGAAGTCATACGGTATAGAAGAGGCCATTCAGCCCATCGAGTCTACACCAACAAGAAAATCCCACCACCTATTTACACTGCGGGCAGTCCCCAGGCTGCGAATGGGTTCCATTTACAAGTCAGTTTGTACACCAGTCAGAACGCAATGCTTGATAATATAAAATAGTGTTCATACATTGGATCATTAAAATTAAGCCATTGTATGGGATGACATTCACAAGTAGGAGCATTTGTAAGTTGGATGTTCAGAAGTCAACAGCCCCCTGTAATCTACTATCCAGCACTTGGCCCATAGCCTTGGACATTAGAATATTACAACTTTCATCCATGTACTTTCTAAAGGCTGAGGTTTCCCACCTCCAGTGCCTTCCCAGCTAGTACATTCCAGATTCCACTGCCCTGTTTTCTTCCCTTAATCCCCCTCATTCTCCTGCCTTCACCTTTTTTAAATTATATCTCTTCGCTATTGATGCTTCAACTAAACAGAACAGCTGCTTCTTATCCACACTGTCCATGCTCCTCAATCTCATAAATCTCAATCAGGTGCCCGTCAGCCTCCTTTGCTCTAAAGAGTATCCAGTCTCTCTCCACAGCTAAATTGTTCCACCTGGACAACATCCTGGTGAAACTTCTCTGCATCACGTCCTTTTCTGTAGTATGGCAACCAGACTGCACACAGTACAGTGGCTGTAACCTAACTAAAATTGTGTACAGCAGCTTTACTCAACTTGTTTTTATCTCAGCAAAATTGTTTTGGCAGCTCTGATTTGAGGGAAAAAAATGTTCTTTTATATTCTCTATATTCTTTCTGCCCCAAAATAATTGCAACCATTAAGGAAATCCCCAAATTGTTACACTGCAAGAGGAGGCCATTCAGCCCATTGTCTGTGACATATCTCCAAATGAGCACTTGCCTAGTGCCATTTCCTGCCTGTCCCCTGTAAGCCTGCATTTATTTGAAAAGAATTTTTTTTTTCACCTAATACCTCAGTTGATCTATGGGGCAGTTCATTCCGGACTTGAACTGCTCATTGCATGAAAAGATTTTTCCTCATCGTTTCTGCCTATTTTACTAATTATTTTACAGCTGTGCCCTCTCATTCTCTTTCTCTGGAAATCAACTAGTGGAAATATTCTCTTGCTGTTTACTTTGTTCAGACTGGTCATGATTTTGAATTTTTGAATTGCATAACCTCTCAGCCTTCCCTTCTCCAAAGAGATGTATGGAACATGCCTGAGAGGGTGGTGGAGGCAGGTACACTCGCAACATTTAAGAAACACCTGGATGAGTACATAGTTAAAATGCCAGGGTATAGGCTATGGATCAAGTACAGGTAAATGCAATTAGTATAGTTTAGTGTGTGTTAGTTGGTACAGACATGGTGGGCTGAAGGGCCTGTTTCTTTGCTGTATGTCTCTGACTGCATGGAAGAGTCTCAGCTTCTCCAATCTGTCTTCATAACTGAAGTTCCTAATCCCCAGAACCATTGTCCTAAACCTGCCTGTACTCTTTCCAAAGCCTTCACACCCTGAAGTGCAATGTCCAAAACTGGATCAGTACTCCAACTGAGAATGTACCAGTATTCAGTCAGATCAACAGAATTTCCTCCTCTTTATACTCTGTAGGCTTTGTTCACAGGGGTAAACCTGATATGTAATTAACTGCTCTCTTCACCTGTCAATCACCTTTTTAATGAAATATAAATGTTCACGTACTCCCCTTTGCATTGTTTCCTTTATACTATCTTTCCATGTTCTTTCAACCAAAATGTCGCACTTTTCTGGCTTGAACTTTATCTGCCACCTATCAGTCTACTTCAACTTGTCAGTGCACTTTGAAGCTCTCCACTGTCCTTTTCATATAATCTGCAAATGTAATCCCCTCAAAAGATTTTTAAATTTTCTCAAACATTTGATTTGGGGGAAAAAAGTGCATTTGAAGTTGTATAAACAGATTCCAGATTCAGTCTTTGACCTCAAGTGATGGGTGGGATAAATACTTCTGAATTTATTGGAGAAATCTGGTGAAAGTCTTTTTTTGTTCTATATAAAAGCATAGAAACTAAGAGCAGGAGAAGGCCATTCAGCCTTTCAAGTTTGTTCAGCCATTTAATGATCATAGCTGACCTTCTGTCTCAATGAGCAGCTGTATGGTCTGGTAAGACAATACAACTTTACCTTTTGTTATTATTGAAATCTGCCATTCTGTTGTTTAGTTATCTAACTTCCAAATTTCATACCATCTACAAATGTAAAGGTAAGATTTAGCGTCTTGCTTTTTTTTTTCCACATAGCAGGAGGAAATCTTTTCTGACCTGCGTTCTTCCCTCACTTCCACCTTTCGCCACCTGTGCTGCAACGTGTAAGGATCTTTATTTTCAGCTATTGTCATTAATTTTCCAATCTTTCCTCCCATTAACTTCATCACTGAAATCAAGTTTTATGCTGTCTGTTACTCGACCCCTCTTCACAGAACCTCTAAACTGTGGAACAACTCGGCTGTCTATTTTTCCTTCAATGTACCATAGCAAATTAAAGCCCACACTTGGAATTGCTTATTCACTGACTACTGATTTCTCATTTTTTCATCTCGTGCTAGTGTCCTATATTATACTTTGGTCCTGACTTCAATTTCTTCATTTAAAATTGACTTGAGTTTAAAAGGAAGATGATTGAGCAATGTATGATCCAATTATGCAAATATTTGAAACTTCACGATAATTCTATCATTGATTTGCCTCAACAGGTTAGAGGCTATGACTTCAAAGCAGACATTTGGAGTTTTGGAATTACAGCCATCGAACTAGCTACAGGAGCAGCTCCTTATCATAAATACCCACCAATGAAGGTAACCATTGTTGCCACATCCAGTAATTGCAGTTTTTCATTCAAACCTGTTGATCATTAAGTGTTTTTTTTTTGTATTTGCTTGCTCTACAACAATCTTGCTCCTGATCTGTCAATTGAATTGGATCGTAATCTGCTTTAAATGTTCACTTACTTTTCACTTAAAAATTGCTACGGTCCCTGTCTCAGCAGCTGTCTATAGCAATGCAACTTTTAAGTCATCAGGGTATCCAAATGTGCTTCACAGCCAATGATGTACTTTTAAAAGTATAGTCACCATTATAATGTACAGAATAACCTTACATTTCTCCTAACCCCTCTCCCCTTGCTCTTTCGGTGACTATTTAAAGTTGATTAGCCCTCATTATTGACGACATAGTCTTGGTTATTGACTTCCCCAACCAGAGTGATTAGCATTTACTTCTTAAAATTCTTAATTTCAAAAACTTTCATTAAATCTTTCTTTTCTGTTACAACGAAAATAACCCCAGGTGTCTTATAACAATTGTCACCCGTCCCTGGCACCTGCACACTCTCTCTCTATTTTGGAAAATATATCAGAGGTGCTTTTTATTCTTTAAATGTTATTGTTCTATCTATTGCTTTGCTTTCTCATTAAGAATGTGTTTAATTTCACTTCCTGTTGCAGTTTGTGAAAGAAATTTATCGTGATTTCAGATTGTCCCAAAGGCAGTGGAATAATTTTGTAATGTAGTGGTGGATTTGCCCGTAGCGGGGCCTGACAAAATAGAATTGTGATCTGAGTTTAATTTATTTTTAATGTTGCCCAAACAATAAATATTTACCAGGACTCTGATCTTCTTTGAAGTATTGCCATAAAATCTTTTATGCCCATCAGACCGTGTTTCAGGTCCCATCCAAAGGAAGATAGCTTGACAGTGCTACATACTCTGCACTTTTGCCACAGGTTGTGCTCAAGTCTCTGGTATGAATCTTGAACTCTCAAACTCCATTCTAAGTGCTGCCATTGAGCCATGGCTGACATCTTTTATTCTTCAAGGGTCTCTTGCAGTTTGCCAAATGCCTTGCTTCTGTGACATACATTTAATATCCTGTTCCCTGTATCCAAGCCCAAATCATCATGAGCACATAGTAAATGAAATAAACCGAGCACCGACACTGATGTATGTCACATCAAGCCCTCTTCTAATCAGTTATTAGCACCTGTTTAAATATAGCCCTTTACTTTCAATCAACTTTTTAACTATTCTATTACACAGTTCTTGTATCATATGCCACGATTTATTTGTTAACCTCCCATGAGATATCGCCTGATTCATTTTTATGCTACCTTTTATTACCCTTTATTCATTTATTTTGGTAATTTTGTCATTTTGTTTTTGTTACCAAATATGTTTTGGCTTTAACAGAGATCTGCATTAGCTACTTTGATTAATCAATATTTCTAAACATTCAAAACACATGATTTTCAGTTCATTCAAAACCCAGTGTCTCTTGTTGCTTTTTCACCATATTACCTGCATGATCATAAGATAGGATTCTGAGCTCGATCCTCAGTAAGGCTCTTCCTACTGTAGTAATAAATATCTTTCAGATACACATCAGTTTACATATTTCCAATATTTGTCTTTTTCTTTTTGATCTCAGTGGCATTTCACTTGGGAGACATTGGAAGCAGAGTTTTGAATAGTCTAAATACAAGTTAAATATTGTCCAGAAAATGATTTTTGGATGTAGTATGTGAATACTTTGGAATTTCAGCTTATTAACTGTAATATACTCGAGGGATAAAGATGAGTTGGTGAACAGTGACAGAGCAGTAATGTTACTTAACTAGTAATAAAAGGCCCAATTCTCTGAGACACAAGTTCAGAAATACCATGAAGTAGTAAGAACTACTGATGCTGGAGTCAGAGATAACAGTGTGGAGCTGGAGGAACGCAGCAGGCCACACTGCATCAGAGGAACAGGAAAGTTGGCGTTTCAGGTCAGGACCCTTCTACCCGAAACGTCAACTTTCCTGTTCCTCTGATGCTGTCTGGCCTGGTCTGTTCCTCTAGCTCCACACTGTGTTATTTCAGATATACCATGACAGGTGGGGAAGTTTCAACTCAAGGAATTAATATATCTGAAATAAACTTACCCATTCACGATAACTATGAAGCTACCAGTTTCTGTTTTATAAACTAGAACAAAGGAAATCTGGTTCAGTAATGTTGTTGTATTTCTATATTTGTTAAGTGTGTGGCTGTCACTGACTAGGCCAGCACTTACCACCTGTTCTGCTTGCTACTGTTCCTTCCTTTTGACAGCATAAAACCCATCATATTTCCCCACACTTCCAGTTCTGAAGATCAGTCATATTGGACTCGATAGGCTAATTCTTTCTCTTCACAGATGCTGACTGATTTGTTAAGCTTCTCCAGCACTTTTTTAAATTTCACATCTGCAGTATCTGCAGTTCTTTGCTTGTATACTATTTCATTGTCTGATTTATTTGAACAATTTTATTTGTCTGTACTATTATGTAACAATAACTGACTTCCCAAAACCTATCTAGCTGTCTGTAGCACCAGCCAGAAGTGTGATGGATTTCTTCTTTTTCCTGTGTCTTTCCATACAGCACCACCACCAGCCCCACACCCCTTTCCCCCAACGATTCCATGACTCCAAGATTACATAACTTTTATAAACTTGGTTAAACATTCTCTTTCAGCCACTTTTAATGTTCTTTCCTTCATTAGGTTTTAATGTTGACTCTTCAGAATGATCCTCCCTCATTGGAGACAGGTGTACAGGATAAGGAAATGGTCAAAAAGTATGGGAAGTCCTTTAGGAAGATGATTTCACAATGTCTGCAGAAAGACCCAGAGAAAAGGTAAAAAATCGCTGTATGCTTGCTCTTGTTTACATATTCTTTGAGGTCGGCAATTTTAAAATATACTCAGGATCAATGAATTAAGGCAGTATAATTCTGAATTATGCTTGAGCAGTATGGTTTGGTTTCAGTGATGATCAATGTAAGCATTCTGCTTATTGCTGTAAAATTATTGTGTAAACAGTTTTTAAAAAAAAAAAGTCTATTTTGCTATGATTATGTGGAAGAGTGAATTATTCTTTTCCTTGTTCCACTCCTCTCCTGGTTTAAAAAAAATTAAAAGGGGAAGTAATATTGCAAATTAGAAACCCAAATTAGACTGTAGCTCACATAGCTCAGGATCAGAAACAAGTCAACCAAATTCCTTAAATACCAAATGAAGAACTAGATAATTGCAAGCAAAACCTACTCAAGCAAAGATATAAAGAAAAGGGAAAGCAATGGCTATTATCCTGTTCAAATCCATTACCTTTTTACACCCACAAATTGGATCACTGAAAGTCAATGCAATATTGTTGCATGCTGTAGCCAGTATCTTTTGTGGTGTTCTTTCCAAAATGTTCATGTGATGTATATTATGTGTCCAATCTATGATATAGTATAGTCATAGCACAAAGAGGCAATCAGTGAAATGGCAAAAACAGAGGACGCTGTTAAGAAATTGGCAAGACAGTCTAGATACACATCACTGGCCACAATGAGAAAGGAGACCTGAAACTGACGGAAATGTGAACAGAAATAGAATTGATAGTTTTTAGGCAATGAGGAGAATTTGAGATTTAAAATGGGCAATTAAACCCTAGGAAGTAGTCAATCAATTCAGAAGTGCCATTATGCAATGAACTCTGCCAAACGCCATGATAAAGTATTGAAAACCAAAAGTGATCCATAAAATTCGGAGGGAGATACAGATCAAATAGAGGGTGTTGTATTGATCATAAGACCTTTAAGCCTAGTGATGAATACATTGGTAAATTGTGGAGTATCAGACAATATCCCTGGCCCTACACTTCCTTGGAACATCTGGATGATAAGGACACCTACATTGGACTCATTTATTGACTTTAGCTTTGCCTTCAACACCATAATTCAAACCAAATTCCTCTCCAAACTCCAAGACCTAGCGCTCTGCTACCCCCTCTACAACTGGATCCTGGACCCCCCTGACCTGCAGACCACAATCAGTAAGGATAGCCAACAATACCTCCTCCACACCAGTGCCCTGCAAGGCTGTGTACTCGACCCTTATGGTACTCCTAATCACACTCACTCCTGTGTACCAAATTCAGCACTAATTCCACTTAGAATTTGCTGACGACACCACCATAGTGGGTCAAATCTCAACCAACAACAAGACAGAGTACAGGAAAGAGATCGACAGCTTAGTGGCATGGTGTAAAGACAATCTGCCCCTCAATGTTAGCAAAATGAAGGAGCTGGTCATTGACTTAAGGAAGCAGAGTGGAAGTCTGTATCAATGGTACTGAGGTGGAGGTGGTTGAGAGCTTTTAAGTTGCTCGGAGTAAATATCTATCCTGGTCCATCCACGTCAATGCTACAGTCAAGAAAGCACACCAATGCCCCAACGTCCTTAGAAGGCTAAGGGAATTAGGCATGTCCACAATGACGCTTACCAATTTTTATAGATGCACCAAAGAAAACATCCTATCCCAATGCATCACAGCTTGGTATGGAAACTGCTGTGCCCAAGACCACAAGAAATTAGAGCTATGAATGCAGCTCAGTCCATCACAAAAACCAGTCATCCTTCTATTGACTCTGTCCACATGTTCCGTTGTCTCAGGAAAGCAGCCAACATAATCAAAGACTCCTACCACCCCAGTTATACTCTCTAACACCCTCTTCCATCAGGCAGAAGATACAAAAATTTGAAAACTAACCAACCGATTCAAGAATGGCTTCTTCCCCACTGTTATCAGACTTCCAAATGGACCTCTCATACATTAGAGTTGATCTTTCGCTGCACTTTAGCTGTAGCACTATATTCTGTTCTATTACCCTGATATGCTTATGTAAGGTATGATTTGTCTGATTAGCACACAAAGCAGTACTTTTCACTGCATCTTGGTACATGTGACAGCAATAAAATGAATTAAATCAAAGGTAAATTTGTATCTATTGTCTGGAATAGACTGACGAAATATGACGTAGATTGAGAGTAAAAAAGATCAGGACAAACTAATTTGAGAGTTTCACCTGTTTCAGATTTGGGGATGATAACATACTAAAATCTTTAAAAGAAATGGAGATTTCCCATTCTATTAGAATGGATCTAGTCGCCGCCTTTCCCTCTCTTGCCCCACCACTCCCATTCTCCCCTCCATTTCATAAGGGGAAAATGTATGTTTACTATAACAAAACTGTGGTTGTGAGACTAATTGGTTAGCTGTTCAGAGTGCTAGATAGGTGCAATGAACAGAACAGCCTTCTGTGCATGGATTCTGTAAAGCTCACAATGTTCCTGGCCTTTGTGGTGCTTTGGTGACAGCTCCAGAAAAGACAGTAAATTATTATTGTGCTTGTTATTGTCCCAAGCTCAGGATTACTGAAATTCTCGTTATTTGCCATTTCAATTCTCGTGAAACCATAAACCATTTGCACTTCTTTTATGGAAGTTTTAAAAGCTTTTTTTAATGGATTGAACTGTAAACTATAATTCATGGTTAGAAATCCATTTGGCTTTGTGTAAGAGTTATGTTGTTGAACATTCTGGAACAATGCACTAAAGCTCATGCAGCATCCTACTCTTGTCAAAGGTGACCTTACTGTAGGCAGTGTAATCATCAACCTGACCCAATGGATATGTATAGAGATTCCACCTCTGCATTTCTTTGTTCATTTATTCATGATGATCTTTTAAACCTATTTTGTAAACTAGTGTCTGGTGTAATCAGTGGCTCCCTATTAATGTGGAAGTACTGCTCAGTATGTTGAAAAAAGTTATGGAAAAATTAGGTGCAAACACCATCTTAGGAGTATGAAAAAAGCACTAAGTTCCATAAATAGCTTATAAAAATGAAATATTTTGTTTGCCAGAGATCTGAAACAAGCAAAATAGAGGAAAAACTAAGCATATCGGTGAACACCTTACGAAAGGTCATTGCTCTGAAAAGTTAACTGTTTCTCTTTCCACATATGTTGTCAGGCTTCCTGAGTTTTAACAGTATATTTTATTTTACTTTGGTAGCTTTTCTGTTTATCTCTACCTCCAACCCCGCTTTCCTGATTTTTTCCATGTCTCAATCATTTGATTGGTATGGATGAAAGGTTTTTCTTGTGTGCACTATTTTGAATCCCATTTTAGACATTTTCTAAAAATCTGGACAAGTTGATTACACACTTTTTTGCAGCAACTGGGACTTGAACTCAGGTCTCCTGTTCCAGAGAAAGCCAGTACACACCACAAGAAAGTATTTTTGATTATCCTGTTCACATGTCTTATGTCACACCTCTAGAGCAGATGGGACATGAACCATGCCTCCTAGATGAAAGGCAGGAACACTACCACTGGATCACGAGGCTTTTATAGGTATATGTATTCAAATAAATTGACTTTTTTCACACCTGTGGAACAGATGGAACTTGAATCTGGCCTCCTTGCTCAGAGTTAGGAATATTACCACTGCAAAAGAAGAAATCCCATCATGTCTTTTATTCAAGTGCCTTCTTTGTTGTGCCACTAATCTGTTACTGATCCAACACTTGTAAAATTATATCATACCTTTCTATTTGCTGTATTATAATTTGTCCCCTAGCTTTTGAGCTTGATGTCTGACTAACCAATTTGCCTGGATCAACTTTATCAATTGTTTGTCCATTTTAAAGTATTCGTGTGCATCTATGTTGAGAGTGAATGCAGTCATCTGTGCCTTCAGTGAAAAGAAAGTAAACTAAGCAATCAGCTTCAGCAAACCTGAGAAACGCCTCCAAAGTTGTTATATTTAGCCTTGTGTCTCCAGAATATTAACCTGACCGTGTTTGAAGTAAACCATCTTGCTATTCTTTAAAGTTACCAGCATCTGTACTGATTCTTCACCGTATATTAGAAGAGAATATATTTGAAACATTTTGAAGATGAGACATTTCTGTTTGCTATTGTCAAAATGAGAATTTCCCTGTGCTGGGTGGTGATGATTTTTTTTTTTGCAGGTTTGTTTAATGCGTGGAAATCTGCATTCCTCCATTGAAGGGATGTCTTCTGCTGACTTCAGCTGTTTATTTAGCCAGTAATGCATTCTGTTGATTACAATGCCTTCCAATTGACTTTCATGATTACACAAAATGCCTATATTTTAAAATTCCCTCCAGAATTGCACACAGATTCTTTTTAAATCTGACAACAAAGACCATGTCAAATTTTGAAAGCTGACAAGATTTTCTATTGAACTAAGATCATTGATCCCGTATAATTTCTTTCATAATTTTCCCCATTCTTGGTCCCTGTTGACAACATCTGTTCGAGTTGTGAAAACTATTGGAGTATTTCCCTCTGGTTTGTCGCAGGGAAAATCATGATAAAAGTTCTTAAATCACCTACTTCCTGTGGCTGTGAATATACTCCGGGTGACTGAATGCCTGTAGATCTTCCAGAGGAACCTCTGACATGGTCTTTGTTGCCAGACAGAGTGGGAGATCTGAAACAGATGCCTTCACATCTATATAGGAAGTGAGCAGATAGTGTGATATCTCCCGTGTTACTCTGTATCTTTACGACAGTGGTTATTCATCTCGAAGATCAACTACCCTTTTGCCCACTTGGTGTTAGTATTAAATACTGTCAATGAGAACTTCCTAGATCTTGATTACTTCCATGCTGAAACTAAACTAACTTCCAAAGATAATACCAGCAGAAAATACAGGAAAAACCTAACTGCATCTTTGGAGAGAAGGTTTATGTTTCAGGTCAATTGACTTATCTGACCTTCATAAATATACATGATCTACAACTTGTTGATAATTACAATATAATCCGCTATGCACCAAATTTGCAAACCACTCTTATTGTTTTTAATCTTTGAATAGAAGATAATTACCCTGTCCTTGAATGTTGCTGAAACAAAGCTCATCAAACAATATCTAGCCGGCTAAATATTCCACCACCCGTCTATGTTGAAGGATAGATTGTGGAATATGTTGAAGACTTCCTGTACCTTTGCAGCCATCCCTCTCAAAGCGCCATCTTTGAGATCCAAAATAGTATTAGCTCTGGCAGTTCAGTTGTCAGCCAACGCTGACAGTGTTTGACAACCAAGACCCCTGCAATTCAATGGAAATCTACTGCGTGGCACATATTTTGACATCGCACTCCTGTATTTCTGTTGTCTTTGTATCAGAAATATGTAAGAGCACTGAAAAAAAAAAAAAAAATTTCCATCAACAGTGCCTTTTGGTACATCCTCTGGATTCAATGGGTGGGCAATGGAACAAGCACCAGTATCCTACTTGTAGCTAGTCTGCCACAGACAAAACTCCCAGAAAATCATGGACAGGATATCCTGTCTAGTTGGCTGAAAATCATTTGAGGTTTAGGAAGTTCAGTGAACGCTCAAATGCCTAGCAATCAAAGGATGGATAAAGGACATTGTTGGAAAGCGCTCTGAAGCTCTCCTTGAAATGCGACAGTGTTGACCTTAATGGTTATCTGGCATGAACAATCCAAATTAACTTGTGTTCTCTAACACACATGAATGTAGAAAAAGTTTACCATGCTTGAGACATGCCTTTTGCTAATTGACCAGGTTCAGCAAATCAAGGAATACCCAATATTATTGTTTATCTCTCCTAATTGGTAATTTTCTTTAATTTCAGGCCTACAGCAGCAGAATTTTTAAAGCACAAGTTTTTCCAAAAAGCTAAGGTAAACTAGCAAATCTGTATTATATCTGTTCACTAAACATCACAATTGGGCTGGCAAATGTTGATCTGTTTTTTTCTTGGCAGTTTAATGAATGAATGTAGCGTTATAATCAGAGCTGACGGTAACACTGATAAGTCAAGTCTCGGAGTGAAACTTGATTTGGTAGACCAAAAGTTTCATTTTTGCACTTTGGTTAACATGATAGTCAGTCACTGAAAATTTTCATACAAGGATTCCAGAGTAATGTTAACAAAAGAACATGAGTTTTTTTTTTGCACAGAAATTTTAAAAAATAATAATTTGGAAAAATCTTAACGTAAGCAATAAACATTCTTTACTTGATCCAAGTAAAATTATCAGTCTTCCTCTCTTCATTGTTTAATTTCTTAGTCAACTGATAAGGGCATAAGTGTTTCCATTAGCAACTTTCTCTCATGCCTTTTTCCATCTTTCCCCAAGCTACACTGCCACAGGATTTTCTCACTGAACTTCCTTTTTGAAACATCCTGGGGATTTTTCCAGTTAATTTGACTGTTTTTGAGCAGTTAAGCAGCATGTTTGACATGGATTCCTTTTTTGGATTTAGCCCCCTCCGGTCATGAAAACTCAATTTAGTGAACACTTCAGCCATTATCTCATAAGGTAACTTGTCCAGTAATTTAGCGCAAGTCTCATGAGTTTTTGGGAATGCTGTTGTGACCCAATTTTTAAATAAAAATTGTTTCAGACATTTTTTGTTTAAAAAAAGTAACCTTTACAGGACTGAAAACCAAAAAATTATTTATCTCTACTTTATAGCCCAAATTCCTAAATAATAACATAATATAAGCTTTCATCACAGTAGAAATCAACTTTTCTGCATGTATTAATGGGAAGAAGGTGTTGCTGCCAAAATCGATATTTATTGCCCATCATTTATTGCCCATCATTTATTGCCCATCATTTA